GTTGATAAACTTTCGCCTAGGGCGTCCCTTCTCTACTCTGCCGTTCTTTCCTCATTCATGCTTTCTACATGACCAAACCACCGAAGCATTCCTTTCTTAATCCTGGTCACAAAATCATCTTGCAAACCACACTTTTCTCTTATCACATAAATTTCTCACCTTGTCATTCAGATTCAGCCCTAACATATTCTGTTTACATACATTAAAAAACCGTAAAAGTTTTTTGGATGTAAGCATAAATTAATATGAATTGCCTTAAAATATGTTTTTGGAGTTTATTGGAGTTTACTCCTTAAGAATCGTTTCATATATAGCGCAAGGTATGAAAAATGCACGGGTAATAAATTCAAGCATTATCAAAAAGTGAAGCCGTTATGGTTTTCCTCTGCGCAACATAATCGCGTATCTTATATAATAAAATAATGAAACATGTAATATAAGTCATATATTTTTATGTTATATAATTTATGCAAATTAATATAAATAAATGTATGGGTTCATTTACCTCCTTTGCCTATTGTATATATTTTAAGGCAATCATTTTTAGGAGTAAACTCCAGTCATGCGTCAGAACTGACCCGCACAATTTTTATGATAATTTTTATCTTTTAGATCCATACAAACTACTACTACTGTTGCAGTCTTTGCACTATTTCACAATTAGATGGTATGGTGTAAAAATACAAATTCGAAAAAGTTGTTCGCTTATTCATACAGTCCCGTTTTCAGCCGATTTTAGAAAAGGAGGAGTCTTAATTCGACTGTGTGTTTTTTATTTTTTTGTATGTATGTTATGCGAAATGTTCGTCAATTTCAACAATTATCATTTGAATGATTTTTTTCAAATAGGTTATACTTTACGGACGGTCCTTTTCCAATTGGATGAATAATTCCACCCGTAAGGTTGGAAAATAGAGGATAAAGTTTATACCGTAAAGACTGACCTGACCACATGTTACAAAAATTACATCTATCAAATTATCTTAATACTTTAAGGGAACAATTTTTATAAATACATTTGTATTTGGTTCTCGCAAACGGCTCTTACAATTTTAATGAAAAAGTAGAGTGAAGTATTTAAATAATATTTTACTTTCCAAGTTTATTTTTCCAAATAAATTTATAAATTTATAGATTTTCCGCCCACAGATTTTCATTTATTCAGGTCACTACAGAATTTGAATGACAAAGAATTTAAAAAAAATATTGGAGATAGTATAGATAGAAACCAGAACGCATTTTTAGTCAAAATTTTTGGCAGTCAGTTTTTAATAATTAAGGAATTCACTCAACATAAGTTATATTATCTGCTTAGCCGATGGATTTAAATACTTAAATACCTCATTTAAAGGCAAAAGTACAGGCCTTTGTCTTTACGCCTAATAAGTGTAAAGATTAAAGTATTTTAGAGTAAATTAAAGTATATAAATATAAATAAATACGAGTACATAGTTGATAATAACCCCTGGGAATGAGGTGGTCGCTTCCAAGATGTTTCAAAAATAAATTTGTAATTAGTTTGTACAACCTTTCATTTTGTATAATTTATTTAAAAAAAGTCCCGCCGGGTTTATTGCTGGTTCTTCCCAGGACAGAGGTTTTCTTCCGAACCAGTACAAAATACTTTCAATGAGAATTACATGTGATCAAATCAATATGATCAAAGATTATTCTATTCTAATCTATTCTATTCTATTCCATTCCATTCCATATTATTCTATTGTGTTCTGTTCTATTCTATGTTGAAAATGGAAATTTTAGATAATGCTAGAAAAATATGGTTTCCGACAGACGGCGATATAATTTCGTGTACGCCATGTAACGTCGTCTGGACCCAATTTCGTTCACGGCGGCCAGGATTAACCGATTATAGTGCTAGAGTGTGCACAAGCAGAAGTGCACTCTCTATTCCCTTACTGTCATAGTCCGATGGGACAGTAAAGCCCTCCGCGCACTAGGCAGCCTGGCTGCGGCAGCCAGTCGAACATATGTCGGTGTATGGGAGCCCGCACACCTAAGCATCCACAAACTCCCGGCTGCGGCAGCCATAAAAGCGTGCCAGCCCCGTTTACACGGCAGCCCGATTACACGGCAGCCCGTTGGCTGCGCGCAGCCAGAGCGAGTAGGCGAATATATGTTGCCGTCAGTCACCGCGCACTTGTCATAGCAACCAGACGTATTTTGTGTTCCGAAACCATAAAATGACGAAGAAAGGGTCACAACTGGCCGTCCACTGGCTGTTTAGAAGTGGCTGCTCAAATATTTCAGCCGCCGCTGGCTACGCAGCCAGGCTGCCTAGTGCGCGGGAGGCCTAATCCGACAAGACCGATGCTTTCCGAGGCACGGGGGTGACACGACACCAACTTTCTGACACCAGGCTGCTGTTGTAATTTTTTTCAACAGAAAAACCCAGTAACTGAATTCGGCCCCACCCGGGATCAGCAACCACGTTTACGGGCTGATGAAGAAGAAGATGATTACCATCAATTCCTTTTCTAAGTTATTGAGAATCGTTCGTATGCCATCTAATGGTCTGCTGATAAAATTCATTATTCAATTCGTTTCAATTGAGGTTAATGACACTTCCACAAAACGCAATTAACTTCAGGCGGTCTAATTAGGCGATTGGACAGAAAGCCGTGAAATATGCGCTGTGCTTGTATAGATTATGACAAACAATTAGTAAAATTAAAAATGTTGTACAACCGATTTCAATATACGAGTAAATAAAATGAGAATATCATCAATGTAGTCGAAGTCAATTAAATACGCATTATTAAGGATAACTCAAAAACTATTGGTCAGGTCTCGATCAAATTTATATGGGACCACATGAGAAGCACCAGCTTTCAAATGAAAAATTATCAAAATCGGTTCACGTACAAAAAAGTTCTGAGGTAACACACATAAAAAAAACAGTTGAATTGAGAACCACCTCCTTTTTTTTGGAAGTCTTTAAAATATACCTTACCTTATATGAAATACTGAAATATATCAATTTTAAGAGATCCTAATTTATACAAAATAATTAAAATTGAAGTGTGTCTGTTTGTAATGTCAGAATAACTGCTTTTTACTAAATGCATATAAAAACATGTACGGTAAATATAATAAAAAAATATAGTATTTTTGTCTGTCTGTTTTTTCGGGTTAATCTTCAAAGTGGCTGGACTGATTTTGACGGGATTTTCACTGGCAGATAGCTGATGCTATCAGGAGTAACTTAGACTTTTATTTTAGAAAAGTAATTAGAGTTGCGTACAGAAAAACCCATGAAATCCAGTCGTGATAAATTCGACGCGGGTGAAGTCGCGGGGTACAGCGGGCCCGGTTTTACACGGTTGATTTCTGGATCTCGACAACAACGCCACCTACCGGGTCCAATTGTAAATCTAAACCATTCTCTATTCAACATAATCACACACACACAAAATTTCATCAAAATCGGTCGAGCTGTTTAGGAGGAGTTCAGTCACATACACACGGGCAGAGGACTTATATATAATATATAATTATTATAATTAATAAATTAATATGCATGTTGTATTATATTTATTGGCGTTGTTGTCGAGATCCAGAATTCAACCGTGGAAGTTGGGGCGGATGGCTAGTCTGACTTCATATGTCCGCAAGATATTTTATTTCTCAGAGGTGCAGGTTTCCTCACAATGTTTTCCTTCACCATTGAGCTAGTGGTAAATCAGTTTTACTTAAAATTGCAGTTAAGAATTTCATTAGCCAGTAGCGGTCGAACCTGCTTTGTTCGCGCGCTGAGGAAGTTAAAAGATTTATCACGTGTCTTTGTTGGGTTTCGTGTAAACATTCAGGTATCAAAGGCAGACTGCATTTTGCACACATTTATTATTGACACAAAATCCAAATATCGCGATTCATTCAATTTAAATCACTTCCACAAGCTTTATATTACATAGGTTTCAATTATTACTTCTGAAGTAGTTACAAGATTATTTATTTCGATTATCATTAAAAAAAGTTAGTTAATTTCACTTGGACGTCAATTGGTCGGTATGGATGTGAACAAGATATATTTCGAAAAACTGAATTTATCACTTTGATTTTTTTTATCAGCTTTAGATTTTAATCCTTATGAAGTTGTAAACCGTCCCGTTTATTAACAATTTTTTTATTTTATTAATTATTTGACAATTTTTTTCGGTAACATTATATGAATCAACGATATATTACGTTAACGTAATTTGTAGCTTTAAACAAAATACGTGTTTCGGTAATTAATAAAAGTAAATAAATTATTCAATACATTACATGAGCATTCGATGTGTGCACTATTGAATTTTTCATTTTTTTAACTTTGACATAATAAGTAAAATATTGCATTCATAATTTCGACCCGTTAAAGAAATATATTCAAATTCAGCGAACATACCTCGGTATATTTTACACTTCTGCGGACAGCGACTTGAATAGATCAGCCCGTTTCGAGATTAAAAGTTCCTCGACTGTGAATAAGAGTTGTTTAGAACTGAAGAAATTTCTGCGCTTCAAGGTATTCTAATTTTCCGTAGGCTTATAAATAGCCTTGGGGAACAATGAAAATAGAGGGTGCCTTAACTGACTCACTTCGATTTCAAAGCCCCGGCTTCGAAGTGTGAGAGAAACGAAAGAAGAGATAGAAGTTCATCAAAGAGTAATTAAACACGATACGAATAAACAGAACGTAGATATGACAATGAAGAGATTTTTTATTTGAAAATTAAAATGTAATAACGATTTCCTGTATTTCCGCGAATACGACTTGAATGAAAGTCATTTTACGGATTTCATCGTGCTTCAATCAGCTTATAGCCTTATCTGGCATCTTCACTCACGAATAACAGCTTCTATGTTAATATATTTTTAAAACGTACAAGCGTCTGTGAATGCCTTTTTCAATAGAAGGGGGAGCGCCAAACGAGCATGCGGTTCAACCGATAGTAAGTTTCGACTTGTGGACAGCTCTAACATACGCATTATAAAATAAAATGATTTGTCAACCCCAGCACCACGATGACGAAGAGGATGACGATGATGACGATGACGTTGACGATAACGATGACGATGACGTTGACGATAACGACTACTCTGATGGTGACGGTGACGGTGACGATGCTGATGACGATAACGATGGCGATGACGATAACGACAACGATGAAGTTGATATTGACTTTTTTAAAAAGCAGTAAGCTCATGAAGGTTGTCGTCCGAAAAATCGCCGGTGGTAAACTGTTCCACAAAGAAGTAGAAGAAAACTCCTAGTAAAACGTACAGTGGTGGATCTCCAAGCATCTAGATGGTGTAGATGGTATCGTGAGTTTTGTCGCGATGTGCGATGGTGGAATATGGCGGTGGAATTAATTTGAACGGTTGTAGTTAATAGTAACTACAACTAGACTTCAAGAAGACTTCTTTGATAACAATATCATTATTATACAATACTTAACAAATTGCGTTAGGATGTAATCTTTATTTGCAAATCTGTTTCTTTAACAGTAGGTTTCTTTAAAATTTTAAAAATTTAAAAAAAAAGTAAAACTAAACGCAATAATATCCGTAAAAATAGTTTTGTTTAATACGTAGTGTTCGCGTAAATATAAGAAATAATTAAGTTTACATAGACTTTAATTTCAGTCTAAGACATAACTTGCTTTTTAACCGTGTTTATAATGCGATGAGGTGCTCAAATATTGGACGCGTACGTTTTTTATGTGTGTTTACCGATTTTCGTGATATGACTGATTTACATAATTCTTTTGTATATTTATTAAATAAGTTAATATATGTACTTCACCGGTGATGGAAAAATGCTTTTATTCGTCGACACACTATCTTTTAGCACCGACTTTATAAGTCTTTTTATTAAAATAAATTTTTCATCATGGACGTTCATTATGTATTTTAAATTAATTTATGGTTAGCTTCTTAGTACGTAATATGTTATACATAGATTATGAAAACTGACACACAAAGTGTTAATTCCTTTGGAAAGTTAATGAACGGCGCGGTGGCAATAGTATTAATAAGTTACTCGTGGTTTAGTCTTTCATATTATCAACTTTAGGTGGTAAAATTTAAATTACTATCATTCGAAAATTTTATTTTCTGGTTTTAGCCGTAATTGGCTTTAATTAAAAAAAAAACTTTTTTTTAAAGAATAAAAAGAAATATTTTATATATTGAAAAATATAGTAAAGGTAATTAGTAATAAAAATATAATCAAATATAGCTGTTTATAAAATAAACTTCTACTAATTAAAAGTTATTAAAATTAAAAAATGAACGATTTAATCCTCGATTAAAAAGTTTCTGTGTTAAATTAAAAAAATTAAGCTTACGTAAAAACCACAACGATTCAATTGGAAGAAATCGCAAAGTGACTTGAACGCTGAAACGCTGTTGTGACGCTTAAACTGGCCGAAAAACATGCGATTATTAAAATAAAAAAAAAGACAGAAGTGAGTCGTGTAAAGTTGTGAGCATAAGGCGGCATAATTAGCGCCCGTGTGGTGGCAGCGACACTAACGGCGGCGCGCGCATGCGCCGTGAGTGCCAAGCTGGGAGAACACGCGGCCATGCTCGCGGTGGCCATTTGCTGCATCCTCGTACTCTTGCTGGTCTTCATCGTGCTCATCATCGTCGTTGGACAGAACGTGGAAGCTAAGGGCGGCTCATAGCGGAAAGAAGGTAAGTTTAGTACCTATTGCTATTATGGAGGAAGAGACAACGCATTTGTAGCTTTCTTTGTTTGTAATTGTCGGCAGTAGCCTTTAATTATCAGGTAGACTGTCAGTTCGCTTGTAATTTCAGTTTTATAAAAAAATATTTTATAAAGTATGATCACAACGGACCACACATTATTATCATCGCTATTATTTTCATCATCATTAATTTCAATTATCAGATAATACCGCCATCTGATCATGGCATAGCTATTAAACTTTGTCTATGAAAGTCGTTAGGAAGTTAGATGACCACCAACCAACGATTATATTATAATAATAGTTACGCGGCGTGTTGCTGCCGCAGAAATAAATGTGGAAATATCATTTCAGATTTGGAAGTTATATTGTTTAATAAATAATAATAATACATTAATTGAAATTGAATAATTTATTACTATAATTTTAAAATAAACTTATCGGTACGATACGCGCGCCACCTACTATAAGTTAATAAGTTGACACAGTTTTAGCACAATCTGATGAACGGTATGGCTGCGCATAGAATACGAACAAACAAAAATTAGTTTTTATATGTATTAGATAATATGACGATAATAATCATTGTAATTTGTAAATCTCCCTCTATCATCTGTATTTTAGAGGATCTATATGTTTTAGTAAGCTGATTGGAAATGCCCGTCCTTCTTCTTCATCGTCCACTCGTAACTCACTGCTGGACATGATTATCTCCCGTAATAGGTAGGCTAGTCTAAAACTCATGGAGCGGTATTTACTCGCGACCGCAGTGGTAGCGAGACGGTGACACGCGTAGAATATGAGATAATATATATAGGTATAAGACTATAGTAAATTTTACGGTGCGATTTATGTACGCAGCGGGTGCGGCTGTTTGTGGTTACCGCTGCACCGGCGGGCTATTGTGTGTTACTGCGGTCGCCCACACGCTCTGCGTTCTTAAACCGCGCGGTCGCGAACACGACTGGTAATGAATTTGTTGCAAATAACTCGCCTTACGCCCACCCGAATTGCGATCAACTCTCGCCAAGTTTGCTAGCGTTACCGCTTCTGCGGTTCTTTTATTGGATATGGATGACAAATGAGCACACAGTCCATGTGATAGTGTGACATTTGACATCCACATTTATCTTCGATTAAGAATGAAATGCAGATGCGTTGTGACCCCTAATGACTACGATGGAGTGCCTCGTTTCCAGTAAAGGTCTCTCGGTTCTCTACAGTCACCACACGAAACACAGCAGCGTTATATTTAAGTTAAGCGGCTGGCGGAATCTACACAAAACTGCATTATTAAAGCAAAATCTAAATTGATAAGAGACTGTATCCCCTGAAGGTACAATAATAACGTGCCTGAATGAGAGGCGACGCTCAAACTCAAACTATTTGAATCAAGTCTGATTGCAATCAAAGAGTTGCTTTTAGGCCCTTAGCAGTTCCAGGGTAGCGGTGTTTTGTTTGATGCAGACGAATGTACTGTCTATTTTGAAAAGTTATGAAGTACATAACGAGACAATGGCCGAGTGTTTTTAGTCGATTACGTTTAAAAAAAGGATTTCTGTAATTTCGTAAAGTTAGATAAAACAGGGAGTACAGATTTATAGCCGCGAGATTTATCCGTCATTTTCCTTAAGGATTCGCTTAGTGAAGGCTTCTGACAATTTTGAAAAGATTATGAACCCGGGGAGAGTTTGCTATACCACAGCAGTGCAGATTACCATGTTTTATACTCGTAGGTGTTTTTTTTTTTTATAGGAGAGGGGGCAAACGAGCATGCGGCTCACCTGATGGTAAGTGACTACCGCCGCCCACGAACAACTGCAACACCAGGGGAATTGCAGGTGCGTTGCCGGCCTTTTTTCTAATTCCAAGATTATATATAAAGTTTTCTATTTCCAAGATTATATATATATAAATCTGTTCTTAGATTTTTTTAACATTCGACTTGTAATGTAGGTATTTAATGTACAAACCTTTTCATGTATTGCTTGTTCAATAAAAAATTAAAAATAACCCTTCAGTATAAATAAAGTTTAAATATTTATTATCAAAAAGACTTTCCACGAATTTGTATAGTTTGTATGTGTTTATCAAGATGATTCTTTAATTTTTTTGCTAATTCTGTAATTTATCGTTAGCGATTAGTAATATTTTTTGAGAAATATGTAAAATCTTAAACTTATATGATGAAGATTTTAGTTCGTGGAGAAATTGATTTCTTAGCACAGCCGTCAACTTAAACCTATTGCGGAACATTGTTGGGAAATCAATTTTGCGTTTTGGATCTATCAGCTCATTTCGTCCAGTGGGTGCCGTAAGGGGTAACTATAGAAGAGGCCGCTAGATTTTTTTATAGTATAGGGTTACAAACGAGCACACACCCACCTGATGGTAAGTGGTTGCTGTGGCCCATAGACTTCTACATTTATCCTCGTTTGCGAATCAAAATGCAGACGCGTTGCCACCCGTGAGGACTAAGATAGAATGCCTCGTTTCCAGTTAAAAGGGTCTCTGATTCTCTACAGTCAGCATACGAAACACAGCAGTGTTGAGCTGCTATTTTACGCTGGTATTCTGTGAGAGCGTGGTCCTTCCCCGGTCGAACCTATCCATTCGTGCTACAACTATACTACTAATATAGCTGCAGCATGGCTCTACCACGTATTACAGTATAGATGGCGCTATACTGTCACATGTAAAACATTACGACGTATTATTATATAAGACGATTATGCGTGGCAATTATTGCAAATCATTTGTACATTGGGAGAAGCGCATGTCCTGCAGTGGACAATTATGGGCTCTTAAAAAAGTCATTCGTTTTGTTATGATCGATTTTAATGATTCCTTCTATTCAATACGATATACCTCAAACGTGTGAAAAAGACAGGGAACGAAGTTTTTAATGTAACTATTTGAGCAACATTCTAGTTGTAACCCTGAACTTGTGATATTGCTTAGACCCTCCAAACTATGTATTAAACTAAATTTTGAAATACACTTTATAATAATGTACTCCAGACCGCATTTCGGTCACGGCGGCCAGTCTCAACAGAGACTAGGCATTGGCGCAGGATAGGATTATAGTGCCCAAGTGTATGCGCAAGCACAGGTGCACTCTCTATTCCTTCACTCTCATAATCCGATGGGACGGTAAACCGATACAACCGGAGAGAGATCAGGCGTAGGGCCAACGGCTTTACGTGCTTTCCGAGGCACGGGGGTGAGACACCCCAACTTCCTGACTCCGGGCAGCTACTGAGAATTTCTTGATGGAAAAACTAAATATCTGATATTTTTTGCCCGACCCGGGATTCGAACCCGGGAGCTCATGATCAGCAGTCGCACTACTACAACCACTAGACCAACGAGGCCTTCACTTTATTTTTAATTAAACTTTATAATTAAACCTTTGGAAACGGTAGAAACCCATTTAAAAACTAAAATGAATAAAATACTTTTCACATAATTTAACAGTTTATTTGATTCTTCGATAGGCTTTGACTTAGTATCGGCATCAGAAGCTATAAAATTTCCTGGAAATTGTTTTATTAATTTCTTATACTCATATTTACACAAACACTATACATTTAATAAAACTAATTTAGCGGATTTTATCGCGTTTAATTTTATATGTTTTTTGACGTTTCGGGCATAGAGCAACTTTTGATCGATCTACGCAGAATGACAATGGATCAGGACACTGTATCTTGAAGTCTTCCAGTGATATGCTTGGGCTTAGTTTTAAATTATATCTGACTTCAAAAATGGAGGATGTACTCAATTCGATTGTATTTTTTATTTGTTTTTTTGTTATGTGTGATCGTCATAACTTTTTTCTAGGTGAACCGATTTTGATGATTTTTTTTTATTTGTTTTTATTTGTAGTCCCATATAAATATGATCAAGATCTGACCAGTACTTTTTGAGTTATCTATAATAATTGATATAGAAGTCGGTTTTACAAAATTTTTAATTTTACTACTTGTATTATTGGTAGGATCCCAAGCAGGTGGTAGTAGCCAGCCGCCTCCTCTATTGAAATTAGAATGTTTTTTTAATTTCAATAGCCTCACGTATTATGCTTGGTAGGTATCGGTCTGTCTATAATATTATTACCATAGACTGCAGACTTCTCAGAGCGTGGGTGTTTCACTTCAGCTAGGTATATGTTTATTTTACGCAAGTTTTATAGATATTTTTGTTTGCCCGATAGCCCGTAAACATGGAAATTGCAAATGCTTTTCTAGGACTCAAGGTAGTTTGCGGCACTTATTCTTTGGAAAAAAAGAATTAAGATCTGGAGATTCATAAGATTTTTATTGAGATTCTTCTCTTCTTCTAAGGGTAAATTAAAACTAAAAGTAAATTAACATTTCAGTTGCGATATATCTTGATAATCTATGTGTAAAAATAATGTAGTGGATAATTATTGTGGATTTTAAAATATTGACGTATATATTATGTATACGTCAATATTTTAAAGTTATTTAGGTATGTACTTTATTTTTTTTAGCCTTTTTGGACGGATAGACATGTTTTTACGCAATACAGCATATTGAGTACAAAATGAATGGGTTTGCTCGGCGGAGTGATTAAAACAAACACCAGTGTAGAATAGTAATACTTCTGCGTTTTGTATGGTGGGTGACTAGAACTGACAAACGGTTCTTGATGGTAATGCGATATATCATGTTAGTCTTCACGGGTGACAACGCTTCTGCATTTTGATCCTTAACAGTATCAATGGGCCACAGAATTCACTTAACTTTTACTGGTTTACTGTTAAAGCGTTTACTGGTAAAGGGACGTCCTATTTAGTCCTATTATATATATTTAAGATTTTTATTTTTAATTAAGGATAAATGTGTCAAAGCATCCACTTACGTTTAGTGCTCAGTACATTGGCTATGTTTTTTTATATAGAATATATTTATAGGGTAAACGAGCACACTGTCCACCTGATAAGTGGAGGT